GCCATAATTTTACTGTAGATGACGATCTCTTAAAATTAATGAATTCAGGTGATATATACAATAGTGATTCATTTGATGATGAGGAATATACACTCGATATAAATTAATGGTGTTAACTAGTCTTTCGTTTCTTGCGATTTATTTAAATAAAGCATGTGAATTTTCACTAAAACATTTTAGCCGTTTTTTGCCAGAGTCTATGTGAAATTTCACTAAAACATTTTAGCCGTTTTTAGCCGCTTTTTTTTGCCAATCTAGCCGGTCGGCCCAAAAAGATTTTGGCAACACTGGGCGTGGTATATCTGGTGGTACAGTCACGCACTAAAACAACCTTTTTTTCGCGTGCTTTTAATTTAGTTCTACGTTGTTCGTTTATTTGTTTTAGTTTTTTAATGGAACAATTTTTAATGAGTTTGCAGTTTTTGATTGCTGTACCACCAGCCACTGTTTTTGTTTTTATATAAAAAAACCCACTTTAGCCACCAGCCACTGCACTTGTCTCGCATTTGATGTTTTAAATGTTTTAAAATTTGGCACAACCGATTTTTTTTGGGATTTTTTTTTCGGTTTATGTTTGTAATTTACATTTTTTTTTAAATTTGGTACAACCGATTTTTTTTTTGGATTTTTTGAGTTTTTTATATTTTTTTGTAATTTTTCATTTTCCGTTATAACTATAATTGCCACATTTTTGCTTTTTGTAAATTCATTTTAATTTTCGTTTGTATGTTTTTGCACATACATATGTATGCACATATACGTTTCTAGTTTATGTAATTTTGAGTTTTCTTGTAATTTTGAGTTTTTATTATTATTTTTTGTATATTTTTAAATGTTTTTTTATTATTTTTTTATTTTTTTTGTAATTTTTTTTTGTAATAATTTTGTTTAATAGCTGCTACCACCACCGCTACATTAGTAAAAAAAGGATCTTTAATCAAATTCAATTCATTTTATTTTTCTTTTTTTTTTTTTTTTGGTTATGCACTAATGCACTTTTTTTCTAATTTATTTTTTTTTTTATTGTCTTGGGCCTTTTGTTATGCCCGCGGGCCGCCATTTCGCCAGGTCCTGTCACCGTCGCCATGTCGAAGTTGATTAATTCCACTTCGTTGTACTAAAGGAGGCGTACCTTTACTCGCGCTGGAGCCCTGGTGCTCCGCCGGCGCGGCTGCCGGCCAACGCCTGCTTTGGTGTGGGAGCCCTAGCGCTCCGCTGTATGCTGCTGCTTGCCACTGTCGTGCTGCGCCTCGCTTGTGGCGTGCTCTCGCACGAAGGTGTTGTACGCCTGTATGTGGGTGCTCCGGTGGTGCTCCTGCAGCTCCCCAAGTATGTGGGCGAATTTCCGCCGCTGTTAGTGGGACCTCCAATTATTTAAAAATGAAACTGAACTTCTCGATTTTAAGGTACGCGGGCGAATGCCGCCAATTTATTTTTTCACTTTTGACACAAGCCTGGCAGCTGTCATACTNGTTCCGGTGGTGCTCCTGCAGCTCCCCAAGTATGTGGGCGAATTTCCGCCGCTGTTAGTGGGACCTCCAATTATTTAAAAATGAAACTGAACTTCTCGATTTTAAGGTACGCGGGCGAATGCCGCCAATTTATTTTTTCACATTTGACACCAGCCTGGCAGCTGTCATACATAGAACAGTGTTGCATTTTTAATATCGTAAATTATTGTATTAGATTAGCTTTAAGGTGTGTTCATACAAGGTGATTTATAGGCTTGCAAATTGTATGCTTTTATCGCATTACAATACATATGTAAACAAACGCTCAGCTGTCGAACTCGCTTTCTCAAACTTTTTTCTCAAAACCAATTACAAATACAACGTCGCGTTCTTGCGTGATCTTGTATTTTTGGTTCATGATAAATTTTGTTACGCTCTCACCATTACTGAAGGTATTGGCCCAATGCACGCTTGCTTTGCTTACTTTAGTTTGCTTTGCTTTACTTTGAAGGCTTTTATGGCCTAATGGTAGCTTTGAACGCTGTCATAGTAGTCAGCTGATTTTCAATGCGCGCAAATATACCCGCCATTCTTTGTTGTGCCAGCAAGTATAATTGTGAATTTTAGTTAAAATATATGTTATTAAACAATTATTTGTTACTAAGAACATTATTTTTTACAGATACCTTGCTTTTCTATCGTTCCGGTTTTGGTGAAGCTGCATTTGGCTGCGCCACTCACCACCCGTGTTTATAAGACGTAATATTCAATTGGAGGTAAAAGAGTTTATATTAAACAATTATTTGTTGCTAACAACATTATTTTTTTCAGATACCTTGCATTTATCGTTCCGGCCACCAGATTCGTTGGTTTTCATAAAGTTTCATTTGGCAGTACAAAATGTTGACTCGAAATGCTGAACAAGTTTTGAGAATTTTCCTAATTTTAGTGAAAATGCGTAAATTAAAACTGCGATTAAAACAGAAGCGCCGATTTTGGGTTCGGAAATTGTACTTAGAGCGACACAAATATGGATTGTTTGAAAGTTCATTAAGAAACTTGGCTGCAGATGAGGAGCAGTTTAACAAGACATTAAGAATGCCCTTTTCGTTATTTAATGTGCTGCACGAATTTCTGGAGGCTTCGCTGACCAAATATTCAATCAGAACACCAATATCGAGTCGCTGCAGACTATTTATAACCCTGATGTAAGAGAAAATCGGTTTTACTTAATAGTATACGTATAATTTTCCATATATGTATCTGGTTTTATTTTTTTGTTGCAGATATTTGGCTCACGGTGGCACTCGGCAATTCCACACAATAGTTCACAGGATCGGCCTGACGACTTTCAGGAAGATTACGTTGGAGACATGTATGACCATATGGGATCTGTTAGCTGACCTGTATGTGGCGACCCCGTCAGAAACGGAATGGGGACGTATTTCCAATGAGTTCAAGTCGCTGTGGAATATGCCCAACTGCGTTGGTTCCATCGACGGAAAGCACATTAATATTACCTGTCCAGCGAATTCAGGGTCGATGTACTATAATTACAAAGGCAATTATAGTATCGTGCTTTTGGCCGTATGTGATGCCAATTATACCTTTACCTGCGTTGACATCGGAGCATATGGAAGTCAAAGCGATGGCGGTGTCTACCACTTTTCAAAACTGGCAGATGCTATTGAAAATGATAGGCTCGGCCTTCCACATGATCAGCCTCTGCCAGGAGAAACCGAGCCATTTCCACATTATTTAGTAGGAGATGCTGCTTTTCCCTTACGGCGTTATTTAATGCGACCATATCCGGGTAGAGGTATTCCAGAAGAGCAAGAGTATTTCAATAAAAGACTCTCTCGTGCAAGAAGAGTTATAGAAAACGCATTTGGAATACTCACTGCCAAATGGAGAATATTGAGAACGACGCTATGCATGGCCCCGAAAAATGCAGAACAAATAGTGAAAGCTTGTATTGTCTTGCATAATTTTATTAAGCTTTCGTGTGCAAACTATGTAGCAAGCGATTTTGTTGATCGCTACGAAGAGGATGCCACCATCGCTGGCTCATGGCGAAACGAAGTAGTTCCATTGCCCTCAATAAGTAGGGTGTCATCGAACCGAGGCAGTTCAAATAATTATGATTTAAGGGATGCTCTGAAGACACATCTTTTTAACAATAAAATTTAAATAATTACTACTCACTGAATATGCTTTGTTTTTATTATTTAAGATAGAAAACAAAAATTTGAACTCACAGTATGAGGGCACTTATTGGTAATGTTTTAAATGTCGTCACATCTTTCAGGTTCGATTACATATTTATTACATATTATTACATTACATATATATATTATATATTACATATATATTCGATTACATATTTAATTCGCAAAATCAAAATCAGATTTCATACTAAATTAGATTACATATAAAGTTCGCAAAATTGAATTCAAACTGGATGTCATTTAAATTTTTAAATTTCGTAAATTCAATTTTTATAATTTTTATATTGAGCATAGACGTATTGAAGTACGTCCATTTGAAAATCTAGGCGGCTCTCTTCTGGGACCTTCTCAAACACTTCGCCAATCGCACCCAAGAAATTGTTGTGTGTTTTTTTTTTGACTATCCACAAACTGACTTACTTCGTTGACTAGATCGTTAAAGGCGGCGTTCTCATCGTTTTTTTTCTTTTGTCTCTTAGCCGGCGTTGGGGCAGTGGTTTCTTGCTCTTCTATTATAATGTTCCCACTCTCGCCTATTTGGAATCCAAAGGAAGTATCCAGTATATCTGGTTCTTGTCCGAGAACTTCTGGCGTTTGGGAGACGATGTTTGTTGTTGTCCTTAAAATATGTACATATAAATTACAATTTAAAATATAAATACTTGTTGTACAAATGTAAAGTACACTTACTGTCTGGGCGTGACCGTGTCTTTCAAAAACGACGCAGCACTTCCGCTAGGTTGTTGATCAACCTTCAATTCTATTCCATATCGGTCTCTTAACGATTTCCATCGCTTTCGGCAGTTTTCCTCTGTAAAGTGAAAATATAGTATTCGTCACAATTATTCGTCACAAATTTGTTATAATTTGGTTCGTCCTATTACAAAACTGCTATATGTTTGAAAAACTCTATACTAACCAGGAGCAGCAGCTACATTTCGCCAAGCCAAATCTTTCTTCACCCGATCGCGGTAACTAAGCTGTCGTTTGTCCCACAAGCAGTTGTGTTTTTCAATCTCTGCTATAAGTTTTTCTTCGAACATCTTGCACTAAAGCTTCCGATATACCAACCAACACACAAGAATCGGATAATACAGCAGCCGGAACGATAAAAAAGTAAGGTATCTGTAAAAAATATTGTTGTTAGCAACAAATAATATTATTAATAACAAATAATTGTTTAATATAAACTCTTTTACCTCCAGTTGAATATCACGCCTTATAAACACGGGTGGAAGTGGCACAGGCAAATGAAACTTTATGAAAACCAACGAATCTGGTGGCCGGAACGATAAAAAGCAAGGTATCTGAAAAAATAATGTTGTTAGCAACAAATAATTGTTTAATATAAACTCTTTTACCTCCAGTTGAATATTACGCCTTATAAACACGGGTGGAAGTGGCACAGGCAAATGAAACTTTATGAAAACCAACGAATCTGGTGGCCGGAACGATAAAAAGCAAGGTATCTGAAAAAATAATGTTGTTAGCAACAAATAATTGTTTAATATAAATTATTTTACCTAAAATTGATGAAGAACGCGATAAAAACTGCACACAAGCAAAATCGACGCGAAAAATTGAAATGTCAAGAGTTGTCAAAAGCCTACAGCGCGCTGTCAAATAGAGATTTCGGCTAATCGATACTTTAAAGCGCTTCAAGCAAGTGAAGTAAAGCTGCCACTAGGCCAACTTTCATACATTTTAGTAGATTTTAAAAATTGTTTGACAGTTCTCAAAGCCAAGCAAGCAAAGCAAGCGTGCATTGGGCCAATACCTTGACCGTCTCCATAGGATAAAATTTATTGCTCTCCAGCTATCATTTTGGTCGCTAGATATAAGTTATATCAGTGCGAATATTTGTGTGGGCTTTTTATATCTTGATATAAGCATTTGTGAGAAAACTTCTAAAACGTATTTTTGCCTAATTTAATCACTTGAAAAATTTAGAAAATAGGCTATTTTACATCCAGTTACATAATAACAAATATTTTAACAGAAAATAGCTCAATATTTGCTTTTATATTAAAATATCAATAATGTTGCCGCCACGAACTTTTCATGCTACTGAACATATAGCTGTCAAACTACCAAATTGCCGGCAATAGATGGCAAGATATAAGCTCTGATATATAATATATTGCTCTTGAAGAGCAATGAGCGGTCTCCATTAGCTATTTATATTCTAACATATGTATCAAGATATAAACTTTATCCTGTGGAGACGGGCAGTTAGGGACAGGAATTTCGATACGATACAATACCATATCGATATCTTTGTCATTCGATACCGATACTTTTTACTCGATAGTTTTCAAACGATATTTTTTGGAATCGAGTACCAGAACTCTTGTATCGTATCGAATCGTAAGTGTACATAACACAGTTAATGGGAATAATGATATATTGTATTGGGCATTTCCAATCTGGTGTGGCATGACATTCGTATGACAAAATATCAGAAAATAAATGAAAATGTCAAAATTTAAAAACTCTGGGAATTGGGCAAAACTATTTGTATAAAATATTTAAGGCTAATTTTCCAAATTCCAAAATGTAAAAATCTGTCCTGCTTTATTATCAGCCGAAGTATCTGACGTGACGTTACCTTACTAAAATTTCTATTGAAAGTTTTGTTGTTAATATTGGCGCGTATTCATAGTCCAGCAACTAAGTCGAAACTAACAAAGTTGCAACTTAAATTTAAATACCAACTTAAAATTTACCTCTATTCATAGTCGCATTTCAGACTTCTACTAAGTAGTTTCGACTTAGTTTACGATATAGCAAAACGAGTGTGAAAAGGTCTCGATTTTTCTTTATGATATTTTTGAAAAATTACATTTTTATTAATTAATGTCAAGTTTGATCATCCGTTTATGTAATTTTTATTTTCATTGCATGATTATGCAAAAGAATAAGGTATTATTTTCTTGTTAATTGTGTGAAATAGCCAGACCATCCGCAGTGATGTGAAGTCGATGTTTATCGAAAGCATGCTGTGAAACATACAAATAGTAGATATCTAAATGTTATGCACAAATTTACTTTAAAAGAACTAGCGTGAAACTGACTTATTATTTGAGAATTTATCTAAATTATTCCAATTATACAATTGTGATATAGCTTTATTCTAATTGTAGTACGCATTTAATTTCATCTTCTGATTAAAATGGATCGATCTTTGTAAATTTTAATTGGAGATTATTCAAAATCATATCAAAATCACCCTCTACCAACTTAATTTTTACATATTTCATCTGTTTTCCCTTAATTTGATAAAATACTTCTTCCTATTTACGACTTAGTTGCAGCTGCAGCCGAAACTAAATTTTAAGTTGGTACTTAGCCAGAAAAGTCGAAACTAAGGCGACTATGAATAGCTTTAGTTGTGACTTAGAATAGTTTCGACTTAGTTGAGTACTAAATATGACTATGAATATGCGCCATTGTTTTTAAACAAATGTTTAACGCAAATAAAACATGAGTTTTAGCCTTAGATAGTGTTCCATTTCTTGCGAATCTATGTCGTACTATAACCTTCCTACTTATTTTGAATTTTGTATCGATATTTGGAATATCGAGTCCTTTAATTACTATATTAGTGGATACGCGATATTTTTACAGCGATACTTTAAATGAGTATTATATCGATACTTTCGGTTCGATATCGTGTCCCTACTCACCATTACAAATGGGCTTAGTCGATACTTTTAAGTATTGATCGATACTCGGCACCGATTTTCTATGAGTCTTATGGGCTGTTTTTGCTTTCGCGTAAAGCGAAGCGCACATTGGCGCGATTCTGTCGTTGCGAATCCGCAATCCCAAAAATTACAACAATGCTACCCATACATTTTAATGCGCTAGCGCACACTTGCACGATTCCGTCGCTGCGAATTTTTCGAACATTCAATGTTCTCCTCTTTTGACGCATGCAAAACGCAGCTGACAGCGATTTGAAAGCGGCAAAGAAGAGGAAAACAACGTAAAAACATTTAGTTCAAAGAAAAAAATGGTTGATGTCGAAAAACTAATAGAAAACGTGCATAACAATCCCATTTTATATGATGTTACACACGCTGAGTACAAAAACATAAGAAAAAAAGACAAAATATGGGAAAATATCGGAGTGGAGTTAAAAGAAAGTGGTAAGTTTGATATATAAAAGTGAGAGTGAAGTTTGTATTGTATTTAACCTGCAACTTTAACATTTTTAGGGGAAAATATAAAAAAAAGGTGGAAGAACTTGAGAGACACGTATGGGAGATATATTCGAGCTACCAAAGGTAGAACTGGTCAAGCAGCCAACTCAAAAAAGTGGGTTTGGGCTGAACATATGACAGCTTTCCGTCCATATCTTGCTTTTGCACCTACCAGTTCAAATATAAGTGACATCGAGTGTGTAGAATCCAACGAAACCATTATTGGAACACCGGAGCTTGACAATTTCAGCGTGGATTGTGCTCCAGTAAAAGTAAACCGCACTCAAAGCGCTAAAAATCATCCATCTACTCAACAAAGTTCTGTCGGAGAGTTAATTGAATATTTTGAAAAGAAAAAAAAAGTTGAACAGGACTCTATTGATTGTCTTTTTATGGCCCATGCTAAAACAGTGAAGAGTTTTTCGAAACGACGGCAGCTTTTAACGAAACAGAAAATTTCTGAAATAATAATGGAACAAGAGATGTTGGAGCATGATGAAGCCATCAGTTCATCGACCCCTATTTTTCGTAATCTTGAGACTGACGCGGAATACGTTTTAAGTGATGATAATAGCACATACTCCAAATCAACTGTCGACCTCACTTCGCCTTCAGCCATTGCTCCATATATCAACTCGTCGCAATGTAGTTTTAACGAAAGAGATCTTCCATGCTCAACACCTAACTCAATGGATGGGAGTATTTCTTCATTCTTCTGCACAAATGATCCTCTCGAATGAAATTATTTAGCTTACAAATTACAATGCGAACCAAGAGAAATATGTTATTTTTCAAGCTTTTGTACCTTGCAATGCAAAATTTTACTGCATTATTTACCAAAACCAAAAATACAGCAAATACACTGTACAAGAGCATGTACAACAAATCCCGAATACCTCTATTTTGAATGTATGTATTATTTACTATGGAAATGCGAATTTTTTAAAGGCAACTAATTCAGTATTTTTTTTTTTGTGAATTGCAACAAGCCCATTTCCAATTAAATGCTGTGTTTTTATTTAATGGAATTCATTTCGATGTGTTTATTTAATAAAATTTATTTGTTTTTATAAACTCTTTTGTATTTATTTTATAAACGTGCATGTTATTCAAATACAGGTTCAGTGGTATTTTGAGCTCGTTCGCTCCCAACGGTTCCAGCAGTAGGCTCATGTTGATTATTAAAATACGTTACAAAAAGTTCACGAGTAGAAAAAGCCAAATTAGATGCACGGCGTGAATCAGTACTCATACCAATAAAAGGTAGAGTTCGAGGCTCTGGTGATTGTAAGTTGTGGAATAGGTGGGAGTCGCTTTTTTTTTCAATTAAATAATTGTGCAAAACACACGCTGTTTTTATTGTAAGTATCGTAGTGCTAATTTTGGTTTCAATAGGACGAAAAAATATGCGAAACTTTTGAGCCAAAATGCCAAAAGCATTTTCCACGACTCGTCTGGCTCGACAAAGTCTGTAGTTATATTTTTCTTTTCGTAGATCATGTTTTGATTGCTTGTATGGGAATGGTCTCATTAAATAAGGCTTTAAGCCAAACGCTTCGTCCCCAATTAATACACATTGACATGGTTGAGATTGATTAGGAAGATTTTTAGGTAGAGGCACATTCATCAAATTTTCTTCAAACTTTTTACCCATATTGGAAGCTTCAAATATTCCTCCGTCACTATTTCTGCCGAATCCACCTACATCAACACACAAAAACTTGTAATCAGGGCCAACGATAGCCATAAGCACGACGGAAAACTTGTGAAGATAACACCAGTAGTTCGATCCAGTTTTTTTGGGACACTTAATAGTCACGTGCTTACCGTCGATACTACCTACGCAATTTGGAAATTGCCACAAATCTTGAAATCCTTGAGCAGATTTTTCCCAAATTTCCATTGTTGGTTCCGGCAAATAAATTCTTTCCATTTTTTTTGATATCGCCTCAAATACTTCGTTAACAATCAAGCTGACTGTTCTAAATCCTACACGAAAGCTATGACCAATTGTGATAAATGAATCGCCAGTTGCGAGATATCTAGAAATAATGTATTAATGGGGTGAGAGTAAGCAATACCATACACCATATTTAAAAATTTACCTTAAGGCAATGGCAAGTCGTTCTTCGGGTCCTATGCACTCTCGCAAATGTGTGTCTGCTTTTTGAATCTCATTTTTAATAATACTCAGTACTTCATCAAAGCACTCAATAGTCATTCGGAAATATTTATAAAAACGAATATGGTCTTTGCGAAGCTGGGACATCAAAGTAGAGAATTCGCCATTTTCTTTCCGATCGCGATTAATTTCATGGATCCATTTTCTTCTTTTCATGCTTGTTTTATTTTGTTTTATTTTATTGTTTACTGCAAGGTAAATAAGCGCCAGCTCCTCATCAGACGAATCCATCGAATTTCGCTTAAATCCAAATAACAAAATACAATTAACTAAAATAAAACGAGAATATTATACATACGAAAAAATCGCGCAAGTGTGCGCACGATTGCGGATTCGAAGTTAACAGCCGAATTCGCAACGTATTCGCAACGATGGAATCGCGCTAATGTGCGCTTCGCTTTAATGTAGAAATTGAGTTGCATTTAGGTGACAAACTTTGTATGGATAAATGGACATTAAGGGCCGGTTGCTCAAAGCCTGGTTGACACTAATCATCGGTTAACATCGTTATCGACGTTTTCGAATCCATGTATATAACACGGTGTCGGTAACGTCGATAACGATGTTTAACAAGGGATTAGTGGCAACCAGGCTTTGAGCAACCGGCCGTTAGAGTGGCATTTAGAGCTAGGTGCGCAAAATGTGCTTTTAAGCGAAGCGCACATTAGCGCGATTCCATCGTTGCGAATACGTTGCGAATTCGGCTGTTAACTTCGAATCCGCAATCGTGCGCACACTTGCGCGATTTTTTCGTATGTATAATATTCTCGTTTTATTTTAGTTAATTGTATTTTGTTATTTGGATTTAAGCGAAATTCGATGGATTCGTCTGATGAGGAGCTGGCGCTTATTTACCTTGCAGTAAACAATAAAATAAAACAAAATAAAACAAGCATGAAAAGAAGAAAATGGATCCATGAAATTAATCGCGATCGGAAAGAAAATGGCGAATTCTCTACTTTGATGTCCCAGCTTCGCAAAGACCATATTCGTTTTTATAAATATTTCCGAATGACTATTGAGTGCTTTGATGAAGTACTGAGTATTATTAAAAATGAGATTCAAAAAGCAGACACACATTTGCGAGAGTGCATAGGACCCGAAGAACGACTTGCCATTGCCTTAAGGTAAATTTTTTAAATATGGTGTATGGTATTGCTTACTCTCACCCCATTAATACATTATTTCTAGATATCTCGCAACTGGCGATTCATTTATCACAATTGGTCATAGCTTTCGTGTAGGATTTAGAACAGTCAGCTTGATTGTTAACGAAGTATTTGAGGCGATATCAAAAAAAATGGAAAGAATTTATTTGCCGGAACCAACAATGGAAATTTGGGAAAAATCTGCTCAAGGATTTCAAGATTTGTGGCAATTTCCAAATTGCG